CCATTCAACATAACAGAACCGGAACAGGTTACCAAAAGACAATACGCTTCAAATACATGAACTCTAATGGAGGTCTATCAATCTCGGCTCTTCTTCATCTACAATGAAGGACAATATGCACAAGGTCTGGAACCAAATATGAAATGACCTGACTACAGGCCTTCTCCTTTCTTCTCAGCCTAACATTCCTGCCGAGTAACCAGCAGTGACAACAACATGAGAGCCCTGAGGGAAAATCAGCAATGATGTCACTGATCCAGAGGTCAGGACAGGCACATTGAGAGGAATAAAAGGTCCATTAGAGGGTATAGAGACAGAAGACAGATTCGCTGACAGCCCAGGAGAAATGGACCCTAAAGGTGGAAGCCACCGAATCAGCCGACTACAAAAATTAGCCAAATGAGAATGTAATACAATCTCAGAAGGTAAAATAGACTCGGAAGCTCTGGACCTAATGTCCTGGATGTGGGGGGAAAGGGAGATCCGGGTGTGAGCTGCACAGCAGGTTCTGTGGTGACAGGATTAACAGCACTGCCGAGCCCTGGGGTCTGGTGCTCCTGTCTGGAGATGATGTGTGGGTCCTCCTGGGCCTGTGGCCCTTTTATAGCAGAAGCTCTGCCCTCTTGATCACCAATCACATGATACGGCATGCCCGGCACTGCGCTTTACTTCTGGCATGGACTCCCACTGCTTCTCTCTTCTGCATCTTCTGTCATAGGGGTCACCTGGGGGAAGATCCGGGTGGGACCTCTGACTTCCTCTCACAGCTCTGGCAAGCTTCCATCTTCTCCGTAACTGCAGAAACAGCACAAGGTGTTCAGTCCGCCATTTATTCTCCCGCTGTCGCTCTTGGCAACACCACAGACTAATGCTGTCACAGCTCCAGAAGGTATCCCCAGCAGTAGATGAAATGTTATGGGCCCCCAGCATGAATAGAGGGGCCCTGTGAAGGGATTGTGAAGCCAGTCTTCTTCACCTGAGGTCTGAGTGGGTCATGTGATTCCAGAGGTAAATCTCTCTCAGCTCTCTGCTGTAGATGAAATGTTATGGGCCCCCCAGCATGAATAGAGGGGCCGCCCTGTGAAGGGATTTTGAAGCCAGTCTTTTTCACCTGAGGTCTGGGCGGGTCATGTGATACCTGAGGTAAATCTCTCTAAGCTCTGTGCGGTAGATGAAATGTTATGGGCCCCCCAGCATGAATAGAGGGGCCCTGTGAAGGGATTGTGAAGCCAGTCTTCTTTACCAGAGGTCAGGGTGGGTCATGTGATTGCTGAGGTAAATCTCTCTCAGCTCTCTGCTGTAGATGAAACTGCTGCACGCCCTTAGTGATAGCTCTGTGTAAGGGAAGGGGACTTCCTCATTGGCTGCCAACTTTCCCGCCAAAATGTAAACCACCAATCCGGTGATGAGCTGTGCCTCTCTCTGCTCAGCACAGCCACACCCCCTCTCAGCTTCTCCCCGGCAACTCCAGGCAGACATCACCCTGAGAGAAAACTGAAGAAAGCCAGCAGGCCGGACCAAGTCCCCCTCACTTTATATATAGATAGAAATCGTGTGTGGGTGGCAATCCCACGGGGACACTTTTTTGTGGCCCTGACATTATCTCTGCTGAACAAGTTTAGAGTAATTTTTTCCATGCCTGATGAATCCTCCACCATGGATCGGTTTTATAGTGTGTGAGGGATGGCGGCTAGGAGCCTTCAGAGTAGAATCACCCCACAACGTTCTATATGGAATGTGATTGTGGAAACTAATCCTGTATCCGCATCACCTGGAAGAATGACACCGAAACACCGATAGTGGTCGCATTCCACCAGCCGGTAAATCATTTTCATCAGTCTTCCCCTCCACACCAAATGTACCTCACACTTCTCTGAATTTAATTGCAGTGTGGGGGGGCCACCAGTAGTGCAGTGTTCCCCCATCCCCCATACTCACTGTGCTGTTCAGTGCCCCATTACAGGGAATTGCATTGCGCTGTGTACCAGTGGCGTAACCAGAGTTACAGGCGCCCAGGCCAGACATTTTTTTTCGTACCCCTCCCCCCCCCACACGCCCTCCCCCT